GGGCCCTGCGGGCCGTGTTCACCCGCTCGCGCTCGGAGCTCTGTGGCTGGTAAAAGTCGCAGCCGGTGCCCCACCGTGCCCTACGGTGGGCGCCATGTGTTCCGTGCCTTGTGTTGGAGGCCTGGAAATGGGCACCAACACCAACACAGGGGGTTGCCTCCACAGGGTGAAGATGATCCTAGATTTCGGTGTTGGTGGTAATAGTTCGGTCACCTTGGAAGCCAGAATATTACCACCATCACCGAGATCGGGATCCTCTTCCGTCGGTGGAGGCACACCGCCGATATTGGTGTTGGTGTCAACCTCTAGGCCTGCGATTGTGGTCGGCGCCCGAGGTCGGACGCCATGCGGGTGGTGATCCACAACCTGCACCACGCAGCTTGCACGTCGGAAATGCCAGGACCTGCTGGCTGGGGCCCGCGCGCTGGCATCACGAGCAGTGCAAAGCGGAGGGGGGGCATGGGGAGAGAGGACGGGATGCAGGAGAGGGAGGGAGGAGAGCAGAGATGGAGCAGCTCCAGAATGGTAAGAATGAGAAGGAGCGTGGGCGAAAGCAGAAATAGCACGGAGAGGCCGGGGACAAAAGGGACGTCACCGTTATCGTCGCCGCGGCTCTGGACAAGAAGCGAGGTTATGATCCCGAGCCGTCTCCTTCGAGATCGCAGCCCACATCCTTCCCTCAACGATATCATGACCAGCGTTTCGCGCCGAATCTGGTCATGCTGACGAAAGCCCCTCGGCAGCCGAGTCAATATGAGTGCACATGCGCAGCCAAGCAGGGCAAAAGGAAACGAAGGATCCTTCCCCAAGATGATGGACGCCAACACGGCCGCCAGGACTGGGTCGATACACGTGAGCACCAGGCAGTCTGAAAGGGTTATGTTCTTGGCAGGCATCAACATGAGCACCTGCAGAGGGGCAGAATTGAGCCGACCGTGGGTGCTTCCAGGCCTCAGCATTGCGACGATTGCTGCAGAAGCAGACCCCGAAGCTCTGCCTCGGAGCTAACCACGGCTCCTTGGATGGGTAATTCCGCTCGCTGGGCTCTCCGCAAATTGACCTCAGGGTCCCGCCCATTGCCGGCACTTGACTGGTTCACTGGGTTCTCTGATGGCTCGCCATGGGTACAGTCCCACCCATACGGTCCTAGACGTAGCTGCCCCAGTGCAGCGGATGTTTCAGTGATCGACCACAGGACCTCGCCCACACGGCCCCGGCTGCAATGACCCGACGTCCTTGTGCGGCGTGCTCGTTGGCCGTGGAGCCCCACCCATAAGGTCCTTGCCTTACTTGCCCCTGTTCGTCGGGCCACACATGATAGTGGACCATGGGGTCCCGCCCGAAGGGTCCAAGTATTCGTTGAACCCGTTCGTTGGGCGACTGAGTATTTGGCAGAATGTCCGGATCGTAAAACCCCGAGCTTAGCCATCCCCGTTCGCTGAGCCCTGTGGCAATTAGCCTCCCATGATCCCGCTAATGATTAAGTCCCAGCCGCAGCTGCCCAACATGTTTGGATACCACCGCAGTTGGAAATGATAGAATCCCTTCCATAGAGTCCCAGCCCCCTCTCGTGAGCGTCCGTCGTAGTCGACCATCGCGTCCTGCCAATAGGGTCTCTCCTCATCATGTCCATACTCCTCCACACCCTTCTCATCATCATCATCATCATCATCATCATCATCATCATCATCATCATCATCATCATCACCACAATCCGCATCATCATCATCAGCAGCAGCATCACCATCATCATCACCATCAGCATCATCATAATCATCAGCATCATCATCGTCATCAGCAGCAGAAGCAATCAACATCATCAGCACCAACATTATTATCGTAATCATCATACTCAGCATCATCGACAACATCATCACCATCACCATCACCATCATCATCATCATCATCATCATCATCAGCAGCAACGTCATTGTCAGCAGCAGCATCATCATCAGCATCCATCAGCATCATCAGTATCATCATCATCTTAAGCATAGTCAGCATCAGCATCGTCATCACCGTAAACATTGCCACCATCACATCTTCATCATCCTCATCATCACCATCATCGTCATCATCGCTAGCAGCAGCATAATCATCTTCCGCCTCCGCATCAGCATCATCATCACACGCAACATCCACAGCATCATCATTAGCATCAGCATCAGCAGCATCGTCATTATTATCGTCAGCGTCATCGTCGTCATCCGCAGCAGAAACATCATCATCACCATCATCAACTCATCATAGGCAGCAGCATCAGCCACAGCGTCATTGCCAGCATCATCATCTTCTCTCTTCGCTCCTCGCTCCGCGCTGCTCGCTCTTCCTCCTCCTCCTCCTTCTCCTCCTCCTCCTCCCGCCTACTCCTCCTCCTCCTCCTCCTCCGCCTCCTTCTTATCATCCCCTTCCTCCACCTCCTCCTCTGTTCATCCTCCTTTGAAGAAAACATCCACTGCCCTCGAAGCCGTCGTCCCCCTTATCCTCTTCGTCCTCCTCCTCTTCATCCTCCTCACTCTATTCCTCGTTGGATTGCGTATACTCTCCATCGTTCGCCATCCGCCACCGTGCATCCTAACAAGTTAAGGCGTGGAAGAAAACCAAGTGCTGCCTGCCCAAGAGGGTGCCAAGATGACCCACCCAAGAGCGGCCCACGAGGACCCTAAGTCGGCCCAAGAAGGCGCTCAGACGGCCCTCAAGGTACCCAAGAGAGCCCCAAGACGCCCCAGAGAGACCCCCAAGATGGACCCTGAAAGCGCCCATACAGCCCAAGCGGTACAAGGAGACCCCAAAAACCCAGGAGGCGCCCCAAGGCACTGCCAAGAGGCCCCAAGAGGCCCCCAAGAACCCTATCAAGAGGCCACCAGAACCTTCAAAAGGCCCGAAATATCACACGTGACGGCCTTCCGTGCCCCCTCGAATAGCCACCATCCAACATGCTGGGCTGGTACGGCGGCGGGGCGTGCCGCTGGCAGCTGGATAACCACGTACTCCTCAGACAGGGGCAACCCGACCACGCTGCGTCCCTTTCTCCCTCACCCCATCGGCACCCTCCACATCCTCTCTAGCTCCGCCGATGAAGCTTATTGCTGTTACTGTCGAAACTGCCGTCTCATCATCATCATCGTCGTCGTCGGCATCAGCATCAGCATCAGCATCAGCATTAGCGTCAGCATCATCGTCATCATCATCATCATCATCATCATCAGCAGCAGCAGCATCCTAATCAGCAGCATCATCATCATCAGCAGCAGCATCACCATCATCATCTTCATCCTCATCAGCAGCATCATCATCATCATCAGCATCATCATCATCATCATCATCATCATCATCATCATCATCATCATCATCATCATCATCATCATCATCATCATCATCATCATCCTCATCAGCATCATCATCGGTATCGTCATCACCCTCATCTTCATCAGCATCATCAGCAGCAGCATCAGCTTCATCATCAGCATCAGCATCAGCATCCCTTGTGGAGGGCGAGCGCTTCTTCACCTACGACGACTTGGAGGCGATGGTCGCCACAGCGACAAGGCCGCTGGGCAGCGTGAGACGGCTGTGGGCCATCGCGTCGGGGCTATATTGATGCAGTTTGGGGTGTGGCTGCGCGGAAACCCTGGGGAGGGGGCCTAATGACCCCGTGGGTGGGTGAGAAGTTGCGGTGGTCATCATCATCATCATCATCATCATCATCATCATCATCAGCATCATCATCATCCTCCTCCTCCTCCTCCTCCTCCTCCTCCTCCTCCTCCTCCTCCTCATCATCATCATCATCATCATCATCATCATCATCATCAACCTCACCTTCATCATCATCAGCAGCATCATCATCAGCAACATCAGCATCAGATTCATCTTCATCATCATCACCATCAGTATCGTCATCACCATCGTTATCAGCAGCAGCAGCATCATCACAACCACCATCAGCCTCATCATCATCATCATCATCATCATCATCATCATCATCATCATCATCATCATCATCAATATCATCATCGTGATCGGCATCATCATCAGCAGCATCTTCATCATCAGCAGCGCAATCATCATCACCCTCATCCGCATCAGCATCAGCATCAGCATCATCACCATCATCAGCAGCATCATCATACTCATCATCATGTTCATCATCATCAGAATAATCAGCATCATCATCAGGATCATCATCATCCACATCATCATCAGCAGCATCATCATCCTCGTCATCAGCATCATCATCCTCAACATCACAATCCTCATTGTCGTCATCAGCAGCAGCATCGCCATCATGGCCATCATCATCAGCATCATCATCCATATCATTACCATCAGCATCAGTACCATCGTCATCACCGTCATTTACCGTCACCATCGTCATTACCACCACCACCACCACCACCACCACCGCCGCCACCAGAATCATCATCACCATCAGCACCAACATCGTCACCACCATTATCGTCATCATCATCAGCAGCATCAGCGTCATCATCATCATCATCATCATCATCATCATCATCATCATCATCGTCATCATCATCATCAGCAGCATCGTCATCATCACCATCATTATCACTACTCGACCACCCCCATTCCCACACCTGCTGGTGTGCCCCAGTATCCCGCCAAGGTTACTTGACACTGCTCCCGCGTCCTCCCCCATCTCACCCACCTCAACCCCTGCAGATCATACAGCTCGCCTGCCTCCACCTACCAGACCTTCCCTGTCTCTTCTCTCATGCTCGCCCTACACCCTCCTCCCTGAGGAAGCTGCGCTTTGAAAGAAAAGGAGGCCACCAGGATGAACGAACTCATCAGGCCCATCACTGGCAGTTCTCGCACTGGAGAGAAGGGGTTCTTCTTGACGTTGCGCTCCACGTACAAACGGGCGACCGCGGATGCCAAGACAAGCCATGGCCAAATCGTCATCACCTCAAACGGAGCCCATTCGGAAGAGATGCCGAAGAGATGCAATACACTCGAATAGAGCTTCGTTGATG